GTACCCCAACAGGGGCTGGGGATCAAACCCACAACCCTTTAGTGCATGGGCTGGCACTCTAAACAGTGAACTACACCAGCCAGGGCCCCACATTTATGTTTTGACATAATATTTTACATCTTGTACATGTATGAATTTCTTAGTTTATTATTGCATTTACACATGCTCTTACTACTGGTGTCTTTTAACCTTTTAACTAGCTTGATAATTGGTTGATTTACTATATTTTCTAAATGTTTGCCTTTGTTAGTAAAATTTTTGTTTTCCTATGTTTTCTTATTTTTAGTTTTGGCCTTTTCCTCTTAAAGTTCCTTTAACATTTCTTTCAATGCTGGTCTAGTGGTGATGAACTCCTTTAGCTTTTGATTATCTGGGAAACTCTTTAATCTCTTCAATTCTGAATGATAACTTTGCTGGGTGTATTCTTGCCTATAGGTTTTTTCTCTTCTGTCGCATTGAATACATTGTGCCATTCCTTTTCTGCCCTGCAAAGCTTCTGTTAAAAAAATCAGCTCATAGTCTCTTGGGGAATCTCTTGTATATAACTAGCTTCTTTTCTCCCGCTGCTTTTAAGTTTCTCTTTATCTTGAACTTTCGGCATTTTTATTATGATGTGTCTTGGTATGGGCTTCTGTGGGTTCATCTTGTTTGGGCCTCTCTGTGCTCCCTGGACTTGGATGTCTGTTTACTTAACCAGGTTGGTGACATTTTCAGACATTATGTCTTCAAATAGGTTTTTTTGTCCCTATCTCTCTCTTCTCCTTCTGAGAACCTATGATTTGGATGTTGGTATACTTGATGTTGTCCCTTAACTTACCTTCTTTTCTTTTTTCTTTTTTGCTGTTCTAATTGGGTGATTTCCATGACCTTGTCTTTCATCTCCCTGACTTGTTCTTCTACATCAGCTAATCAGATGTTAATTCCTTATAGTGTATTTTTTATTGCAGTTTTTGTATTGAGTTCTGATTATTCTTTTTATATTTCCTATCTTTTTGTTGAAGTTCTCACTGAGCTTGTCTATTCTTCTCCCAAGTTCATTGACACCCTTATAACTAGTGTTTTGAACTCTTTATCTTATTGGTTGCTTGTCTCCAGTTCATTTAGTTCTTTTTCTGGGGTTTTATCCTGTTCTTTCGTTTGGAACATATTTTTGTGTCTCCTCATTCTGGCTGTCTCTCTGTGTGTGTTTCTGTGGATTAGGCAAAACAGCAACCCCTCCTGGTATTGAAGCAGTGGCCTTGAATAGGAGCTTCCTTTTTGTAAACTCTGTATGCTGGGCGCCTTTGGTAAGCCAGCTGGAGCTAGATCAGGCTGCTGAGCATTACCGTGGCTGCCATAGTGGCTAACAGTGGCTGGACCTGGAGCCAGCTAAGATTGAAGTCATGGGTAGTCCTGGGGTAAAGCTGCACTGGGGCCACCTTGTCCAGGCTGAGTGGAGCTACAGTTGTGCAGGCATCGGCCACAGGAAGTTCTGGGGGCAAGCCACACTGGGGCTTCCTTGGCCGGCCAGTTGGAGCTGTAGTTGGAGAGGGCTCAAGCCAAGGGGAATCCCAGGGGCAAGCCAAGGAGCTGGTGTGGGCCCAGGGCCTGGTGCACGCTCGGACAGCCTTGGCAAACTGGCTAGAGTACTGGACTATGCTCCCACCGTGAGATTAAAGTGGAAGGGGAGCACAACAGTGGTGTTCCTTGTATTTCCGACAGTGGAAGAGAGTTTCCACAGCTTCCCTCCCATTGGCTAATGCCCTAGGGTTGTTAAATCCATTTTCTTCTGTTATATTCTAGGTGCCCTTTAAACCACTCTTTTTTTTGCTATGCCCCAGGGTAGGAGAGTCGATGATCCCTCCCTCCTGCAAGTGGTGTGTTGGGAGTGGGGTTCCTATCATACCATGTCTGAGTTTCTCCTACCCATTTCTGTGTTTCTCTCCTCTCTCTCTCTCTCTCTCTCTCTCTCTCTCTCTCTTTCTCTCTCTTTTTCTCTTTCCCTTTTTCTCATTTGCTGTGCAGAAGCTGTTCACTTGCCCTTCGTTCTTCAGGGGGAATTGCTCTGTAAGTGTAAATTCAATGGGTTTATGGGAGGGGGTGTGTTCAGTGTCTTTCCATACCGCCATCTTGGACAGAAGTCTCAAATTGTGGCCAGGTTTTAAAGTATGGTTTTGGGAAAGTGGTATTTAGAATTGCCTTACACCTTACATTTTCATTATAAAGGAAACAGTTTCAGAATACATGCTACAGTATTGTGTTTTCAAGTATTTTAATAATTCAAATGTTTGTTTTTTTAAAATATATTTTATTGATTTTTTACAGAGAGGAATGGAGAGGGACAGAGAGTCAGAAACATCAATGAGAGAGAAACATCGATCAGCTGCCTCCTGCACACTCCCCACTGGGGATGTGCCCGCAACCAAGGTACATGCCCTTGACCGGAATCGAACCTGGGACCCTTGAGTCCGCAGGTCGACGCTCTATCCACTGAGCCAAATCGGTCAGGGCATAATAATTCAAATGTTTTATCAATACAGTATATTAGTATTTTTTATTATTTTTTATAGTCTGATATAATAGGATGAATATTAATTTATTTGACTTTTAACTAGACACTTAAAAAAATCTTGGCTTTGCCACTTACTAGCTATGTAGACTTGGGCATATCTGTCTACTATAAGATGGTCTAATAGTATTACCTACTTTCTAGAATTTTAAAGGAATATTAAATGAATTAATATATGTAAAGTACTGAGAATATTGCCTGGCACAGAGATGCTATATAAGGTTTAGCTGTTATTACTTTTCTAGAGAAAGAAATAAGAGAAAGAAGTGAGCCCTAGCTGGTTTGGCTCAGTGGATAGAGTGTCAGCCTGCAGACTGAAGGGTCCCGGGTTCGATTCCAGTCAAGGGCACATGCCCGGGCTGTGGGCTCAGTCCCCATTAGGGAGTGTGCAGGAGGCAGCCAATCCATGATTCTCGCTCATCATTGATGTTTCTCTCTCTCTCTCTTCTACCTTCTTCTCTGAAATCAATAAAAAAATATTTAAAAAAATAATAATAATAAAAAAGAGAAAGAAGTGAGATGAAAATATTGGAAAGCCAAACCATTTGTAGGTTTTATGTTTGTCTACGTAGAACAGATGATAAGAGTATCAACTGAAAAGTTCTTAGAAGCAATAGACATTTAATGGGGAGAAGTAACTGTAAGAAGTTTGCATTGATCATAAGCTTTTCTAGCAATAACTAGTTGATATCATCAGGAAAAACTTCTATATAGTAAGTACTTAAAAAATTTTTTAAAGTACAATAGTCGCATCTTACCCACAGTTTCCCTTTCTGCAGTTTCAGTTACCCACGGTCAGCAGCAGTCCAAAAATGTTAAAGGAAAATTCCAGAAATAAGTAATCACTTTTAAATTGCAAACTATTCTGAGTAGTAGGATGCTACCTGGGACATGAATCATCCCTTTGTTCAGTGTATCCACCCTGTGTACACTACCCACCCATTACTCACTTAGTAGGCATCTCAGTTATCAGATCAGCTGTCGCAGTATTGCAGTGCTTGTGTTCAGGTAACCCTTATTTTACTTAATAATGGCCCCGAAATGCAACAGTAGTGATGCTGGCAATTGGGATATGCCGAAGAAAAGCTGAAAGTGTTTCCTTTAAGTGAAAAGGTATGTATGCATAGGAAATAACATGGTATGTACTAGTATAGGTTTTGGTACTATTCACAGTTTAGGGTCTTGGAATGTATCCACCATGGATAAGTGGGGACGACTGTAATATTAGCGACTCATAAGACAAAAACTTGTAAATTATACATTAATAATATTTTAATATATGGAGAGAGATAACATGTTTTTCATGGAGTTTTGTAAGAATGTCTTTTTCTGTTAAATTGTTACGTAATTTGAATTTGATTCCAATTTGAATTTTATGTAGAAGTGTTAATGATCAAGAGATTCCCAGAACATTGTGAGAACAAAGTTTAATGAGGGAGTACTTCCCATATTCAGTGTTGAAATATGTTATAAACCTATACTAAGTAAAATAGCTTGGTACTGCTACAGCAAGTTACAAACAAACCAATAACACAAATGAAGATCCAGAAACCCAAGTGTATGTAAAGAGTGTATAACATGATAAAGGTGGTATTTTTCTAATCAATAGAGAAAGGTTAAATTATTTGTTAAATGGTTTGGGGACAGTTGGTAAATATTTGAAAGGAAAAGTTAGATTCTTACATTACATCATATACCAAAATGAATTCCAGGGAAATTGAGAATTTTAATGTTAAAAATGAAACCATATAAATACTAACAGACCATATAGGATTAAAATGACAAAAACCTTTCTAATCATATACTAAAAGTGGAAACTATATAGTATAAGATTTATCAATTGAATTACATAAAAACCAATTAAGAATTTCAGTACATTAAATACATAAAGATTATTAAAAGTAAATAATGATAAATATTTGTGACATTAGAGACAAAGAATCTTATAAATCTAAATGAGGGATGTATATTAAGTAAAACAAATTAAGAAGTAAAAACAGTATTATCCACATTTGGGGAGATAAAAAGACCTGAACAGAAATAAGACTGGAGGGTGTACTATAAAATTGTTAATAGTGGTTGTCTATTTAGGTTAACACATGATTTTTATATTTTTTGCTTTTCTGTATTCTGTAAATTTTCAACAAAGAATATAAATTTTATAATTGAAAATTTAAAGAAATTATATCTGCTGTATTTTGAAAAGTATTACTTGATGTCTAAATTTCTAAATAAAGGAATGGTAATTAGTTTTTATCTTTTCACTAGCCTTGGAACATTGGAATCCATTTTTTAGGATAACGAAAACTTAGAATTATAGTTCATGGTCACAAAAGTAGGAGACAAATTCAGGAAGAGTTTATCCTCATGCTTTTTATTTCTGTTTACTGTACTAAGGAGAATTATTAGACAGTAAATAGTACTCTCTTGGTTTATTTTGTTTTGGTTACAGACTAGAAGCAGCCAAAGATGATTATCGAATACGCTGTGAAGAGTTAGAAAAGGAAATCTCTGAACTTCGGCAACAGAATGATGAACTAACCACTTTGGCAGATGATGCTCAGTCTCTAAAAGATGAAATAGATGTTCTTAGGTAAACAATCTTCCCATCTTTGTACAGTGCCAGACCTGTCATCACCCAGAACAGTTCTTCCACCAATGTTACAAGCTCTAGGATCCGGGCATAGTAGGATGTTCAAGAGGTGGGCCACCTGGATTTAGATCTAAGTGCCATCATTTATTTAACTTCCATATAACCATTTTCTCATCTGTAACAAAATAATACACACACATACCTCAGATTTATATGTGGAGTTAGGTGAGTTTATATTTGTAAACACTTGGAACAGTCTGGCAAATAAGTGCTATATGAATGTTTCTCAATAGAAATTAATCTCTGACCATTACTTTATACTTGTGTATCTCTGGAGCTTTTCTTATTACTACTCCTTTTCTTTAATTTTGAGTCCTGCAGTCACTTGGTCTTCCTTTTTCTCAAATACTGTCATATCTCACAAGGCTTCATCTCCTTGATGGACCTTTTTATCTTCGCTTCAACTATTTGCTCACGAGGCACCTCACTCCCTATCACTTCATTTTTCCACCTTTGCCATTCTTGTATAATCTATCCTCTGTTGGATCATTCTAACCACTTATATTTTACACTTTTGCTCTGAATACTGAGAACAAATAGAGAAATTGACATAGTGATACAGTTTTGTCCTACTACAAATTAATAAGCTTACTCTTCACTGGGTTCTTACCACTGGTCCACCATTCTGCTGCTCATCAGTAGATGGCTGTCTCCCATTTCTCTTCTAGGTATGACATATTTTCATAACTCTTCTCACCTGCATGCCTATCGCACCCCACCTCTCTCATGCCTTACGTTCAGTGGATGACATTGTCTCCTGCTGCATAGAGGAAAGAGGCCATGAACTGTGGAACTCTCCATGTCCTATATCTCCTGCACCTCCTGAATTCCCTGCATTCCCACTAATCGTTTCTTTTCTGCTTCTAGAAGATAGACTTGTTATTCTTCCTCCTGTCCAGTGCTAATTTCTTCTTCAGTGTTCTGGGTCTCAATGCTTCTTGCTTACACAGGGACTGTGTTACATGAATTATCATTTCTCTTCACATTTGAATCTTCCTCCTTAGCATATATGTACATTTAGGTCTCTCTCATCTTAGAAAAAGGGAGAGACTTATTACTCTCTCCTTCCCTCCAGAACAAATTTAGATTATACAGGGTAAAATTTATGTTCTCTCCTTAATCCCCTAAAATTTGTCCCCATCTGCCCCAACTACTCCACTGAAACAGCTATTCTAATTGCCAAATTATTTGGACACTGCACAGTTTATTTTGCTTTTTCTACCACTGCATGTGTGTCTGCTGGCTACACCCCCAACCCTTCTACCCCCTGCTACACACAGATTTGCTTTCCTTACATTATATAACATTTGTCATTACAATTTTTGCTGTAACTTGGTTATATTTTTTAACCTGAGCAGAAAAATTAACCTGGAATTATCTTTGGTCTTATAATTTGATTACAATGTGTTATTATCTCACAATCCCTCTTGTTTTAGCACTATCTAAAATAGCTATATAACTGTGAATGTGTTTCTGATTTCCCATCTTATTCTAGACATTCTTCTGATAAAGTGTCTAAACTAGAGGGCCAAGTGGAATCATATAAAAAGAAGCTAGAAGACCTTGGTGATTTGAGACGGCAGGTTAAACTCTTAGAAGAGAAGAATACTATGTATATGCAGAACACTGTCAGTCTAGAGGAAGAGTTAAGAAAAGCCAATGCGGCTCGAAGTCAACTTGAGACATATAAGAGACAGGTAAAGAATTGTAACAGTGTCCTGCTGACATTTTCAAGCAGGTTCTCCCCTGGCTTATCAAAAATCTACTGGCTTGCTTTTATGGTGTTCTGATTTTTACCTATGAAACTTAGTTCTTCTCCAGAGCTTACTGACTGGTCTCTATAGCAGATCCTTTTATTGCTTTTTATTTTTAAATTTATTATATAATACTTAAATATGCAACAGTGAAAAAATAATACATGTGTTCATGCTTAAAAAATAAAACATGCTCTTCCTTCCCCTCATTATAGTAACCGCTATGCTGCTTGTGGTTTCCTTCCTATGCATCTCTCTATTCCAGCGATTTTTCAATCTTTTGCATCTCATGGCACACGTAAAGTAATTATTAAAATTCTGCGGCACGCCAAAAAATACATTTTTTTGCTGATCTGACCGAAAAAAAGGTATAATTTTGATTCATTCACACCAGACAGTTATTGTTGTGTTGGCTATTGGCAGTTTTTTATTTGACAGTCTGAGGGGGAAAAAGTCAGTGACCCTTACTAAATAGTCAGGTATTGCATATTTTAAAAATTCTTGGGGCACACCAGTGTGCTGTACACCGGTTGAAAATCACTGCTCTATTCTTTGTTTTGGTTAATCCTCACTCGAGGATATTTTTTCCATTGATTTTTAAGAGAGGGAGGGATGGGGAGAGAGATAGAGAGAAATAGCACACATCAATTAGTTGCCTCTAGCATTAGCCCCAACCGGGGCTGGGGATCAAACCTGCAACCCATATGTGCCCTTGATGGGGGATTGAACCCCAGACCCTTCAGTGCTCGGGAGACATGTTAACGATTGAGCAACACTGGCCAGGGCACTACTGCTCTATTATTTTGCTGCATATGTATATTTATTCACTAGAGGCCCAGTGCACAAAAATTTGTGCACTCAGGGGGTCCCTCAGCCCGGCCTGTGCCCTCTCGCAGTCTGTGACCCCTCGGGGGATGCCCACCTGCTCCTCGGGGGATCGGGCCTAAGCTGGCAGTCAGACATCCCTCTGGCAGCCCGGGAGCCCTCGGGGGATGTCCACTTGCCAGCGGGGAGCAGGCCTAAGCTGCAGTCGGACATCCTTAGTGCTGCTGAGGAGACGGGAGAGGCTCCCACCACCACCGCTGTACTGGCAGCCGTCAGCCTGGCTTGTGGCTGAGCAGAGCTCCCCCTGTGGGAGTGCACTGACCACCAGGGGGCAGCTCCTGCATTGAGCGTCTGCCCCCTGGTGGTCAGTGTGTGTCATAGTGACCAGTCATTCCCAGTCGTTCTGCTGTTAGGGTCAATATGCATATTACCCTTTTATTATATAGGATATGTATGTAGATTAAATTTATAGCATTTTGACACGTTTTAAGGCTATCCAGGGCAAAAGTAGGTTTACAGTTGTTGAGTGCTCGAGATATTCTTGTATTATTCATTAACTAGAGGCCCGATGCACGAAACTCGTGCAAGAGTAGGCCATCTTTCTCCCGGCTGCCGGCACTGGCTTCCCTCCAACCGCCTGGACCCAGGCTTCCCTCCGGCCACCAGCAGGCACCTGGGATCCGGGCTTCCCTCACAGCTGGTCTAATTAGCATATTATGCTTTTATTATTATAGATTATTGTATTATTTTCCATACAAACAACTGTAAACCTGCTTTTGCTCCACCTTATATAAATTATAAAGTGAAAGAACTCTACTATAATTTAGTTTTGCTCAGTAGTATATTTGTGAGATTTGTTTATGTTGATAGGTATATACTAGTACAGCGGTTCTCAACCTGTGGGTCGCGACCACTTTGACGGTCGAACGCCCCTTTCACAGGGGTCTCCTAGGACCACCCTGCATATCAGATATTTACATTATGATTCATAACAGTAGCAAAATTACAGTTATGAAGTAGCAACGAAAATAATTTTATGGTTGGGGTCACAACATGAGGAACTGTATTTAAAGGGCCAGAATGTTGAGAACCACAGTACTAGTAGCTTTCTCCCATTCATTCGTACTGCTGTATAGTATCTTATTAAATGACTATAACAGTGATGGTGAACCTATGACACGCGTGTCAGAGGTGACACGTGAACTCATTTTTTTGGTTGATTTTTCTTTGTTAAATGGCATTTAAATATATAAAATAAATATCAAAAATATAAGTCTTTGTTTTACTATGGTTGCAAATATCAAAAAATTTCTATATGTGACACGGCACCAGAGTTAAGTTAGGGTTTTTCAAAATGCTGACACGCTGAGCTCAAAAGGTTCGCCATCACTGGACTATAACATAATTTATCCATTTTCCTTTTGAAGGACAGACAGAATGTTTCAACTTTTTATTTTATATTACAAGAAATGCCACTGTGAATAAATAGTATTGAACATTACCTGTTTTATATATATGTGAAAGTTTTACAACTGAATGGAATTTCTTCCATAGAATATGTTCATTTAACTAGATACTTCCCAATTATTCTCCAAAGTGATTGTATTATTAGCAAGAAATTTGCATGATTTTTCCCACTCCACATCATCACTAACAATAATACTTCAAACTTCAAATTTTGACAATTGGGTAGATATGAAATGGTCTCTTTATACTTATACTTTGTTTTGCATTACCCTAATTACAAATATATTTACTGATCACATTTCTTTTGTGAATTGCCTATTTTTATCTTAGAATCATTCTAAAAATTGGATTATGAAAGTTCTTTATATGTTTTTGATATTAATCTTTTTATACATGTAATATTTCCTACCAGTCTGTGACCTATCCTTTTTACCTTTTTGAGATTGTTAATTTTAATATAATGAATTTTAAATATCTTTTTATGATTTATGTTTGTTATTCCTTGTTTAAGAAATCACTTCCTACAGAAGGATATAAGACTAATCTCTATTTTCTTAACAAAGATTTAAGTTTGTTTTGCACATTTATGTCTTTAAGCCACATTTTTGTGTAGGGCGAGAGGTTAGGGATACTTTGTCTGGACAAGCAGTCAACCTAGCAGCACTTATTAATAGTTTCTTCCACAGTGGCCTACAAGTCGATTAACTTATCATATACCTAAATTTCCATGTAATATCTGGGTTTGTTTCTGGGCACTATCTTCTACTTTATTGGTCTATTTGTCTATTCTTACACCAGTACCTCACAGTCTTATTATCTATAGATTTTTAGTAACTTTAATATTTGGTATTACAGCACCTTGCTCTTTTTCAAAATTATCTATTCTTAGACCTTTTCTTTCCCTCTATACCCAAAACTTTTGGGAATTGGAATTACATTGATTCTGTTGATTGATGTAAAGGATAAATGAAATCTTTATGACAATAATATTCCTATCAGTGAATATAATATCTTTCCATTAAGTTTTTTTTTTGAAATAAATCTTTATTGTTCAGATTATGACAGTTGTTCCTCTTTTTCCCCCCCATAGCTCCCCTCCACCCGGTTCCCACCCCACCCTCTGCCCTTACCCCCCACTGTCCTCATCCATAGGTGTACAATTTTTGTCCAGTCTCTTCCCGCACCCCCCACTCCC